ACTTTGTACATTTATAGTTTTGGCCAACAGTGCCAAATTTGCCTCTAACATATTTCTCACTAACGGGGCAGGAACTTTGATTCAAATCGTCACCAACATTTAACCTTTGTTGAACTAATAGGTAAAAAATAATCCATTGTCCTTTTATTTGCTATATGACCATCTTTTCATATTTCTATCAGTCACTGTGCTCCTTTTCTGTTAACGAGTTTACATCTTTCATCTATCTTTTCTGTGAAGTGGCTGGCTTGATGCTTTTTAAAAGTCGTGTGAGTGAAAATTGGCCCTTTGCCTAAGATATATTTTGCAAATATTTCCTCCAGTTTCTTATTTTTTGACTTTATTTATGATGTTATTCCCTAAATACAACTTCAAGATTTTTTTAATGTGATCAAATTATCTTTTCCTTTATGGCTTCTGAATTTGGTGCTATGTACAGAAGCATCACTCCCATTCCAAGAATATAAATAATCAAAATTTTCTTCTAGCACTATGATACTTTCACTAAGTGTTTGACTCTTCTGGAAATTATTGTTTTTAAAGATTTATGTTGTGTTCCAGATTATTATTTTTTCCATATGGTGTGTCAAGCGATATTTAAGGTCTTAAAATACCACCATTGCCAGTCAAGCAATGTTTCATTACAAATAAAGATGAAATTATTTTCATGTTTTCATGTATTAATTTTACTTTTCAAGCATGTTAATAGTACACTACAGTAGTTTCATAAATTGTATATTTTTTAAAGAAACATTCTGCAATTTAAAAATTAACACTAAGCAATGGTGAGTTCTGTGTTATAGGAGCATGAGAAAGGAATAACCCCCAAATTCCTTTTAACAAGAGACTCCTCAAAAAGTGAAACCAATTATATTCCACAAAAACATTTAAATGACTTTTTCAGTAGAGCTTAAATTAATACATGAACTCACACAAACATACAACATATACCCTTTTGCTTTATGAATAAACACTGCAACGCTTTTATCAAAATAGCAAATATGTTAATATTCTGCCCCAGCTAACCCAAATCACAGAGATGGGGTAATTAAAGTATATAATAGTGTATCATTCAAATTCATTCAAATAGACAAAAGGAAATATATAAGGAATGACTGGAATGGGATATTATAGGGAAGCAAGTCAAGTTTATCACAAAGATCGAATGATTAGTTAAAAGTAGCCATGCTCTCACTCTTAAGGATACTGCTTCATCTCCTCCTACTTTGTAAACTTCTCCCACTAAACTTCCTTGAAGAGCTAGCTGTATCTGTTCTCTCGGCTGACTCCTGTCTACTCTGTGCCCAGCCTCCCTTCACATCTGGGGTGGCTGCCTCATCCTATATGTTCTTGTCCCTTGGCCACCATGACAAAATTGAAATAGCAGGTAGGCAAACATGAAATTAATGTTTATTATTCCCCCAATAACCCACATTCTCAAAGAATCTGCTGGTACATTCTCCTATAATTTTTTCTACCTCCTGCCTTTCCTAAAATCTTCCATACATATGATGAAGTTTTAGGCTCATCTAAAAAGACAGCTTTTTCATCCCCTTCAGAGTAAAAAGAAAGACCTAACAACAGCTTATAAGACCTTAATAATACGCCACCTCTCTATCTAAAAACACACGTCCGTCTCTTGAACCTCATGCAAAGTGCATTTGACACATTGAGAATATTCAGTTCTACTACAGGAGACAAGAAAACAAATGAAATCGATGCAAATCATTAGATGTGTTAAGCACAGATAATTATTTACCTGGGAGATATGGTAGACAGATAAAGCAAGTAGAGCATATATGTGTGAACCTAGATAGAAAGGAATGGAAGAACCAAGTAAATACTAAATATTCATGATCACTAAATATACATGAGACACGTGAAGCACTGAATATTCATTATATACTAAATATACATTAGGACATGAAGCACTCGCTATCCATGAGGTCTTATTTCAGTTACTCATTAGTGACACTCCTGCAAAGCCCCAACTGCCTGGACATGTAAATAAAGCTCATAGCTGTTCATCAGGCTAACACTACAGCTCAAGATCTCCAGTAGAGCAAGCATAAGCTGATACCAGGCGTCTTCCATCTTCCTTACCTTCATCTCTGGCCCTTGTAACCACACCATCAGTGGAGAAGGCTGATGCAGCACAGAGAGAAACAATACAAATAAACATGTATAACACAGAATTTAAGTGGTGTGGCCTTTCCACTTGCTTATACCCCGGTGCACATGTGTCAGTCTACTCCATTCCTTTCCACTGGCTTCTAACTCTATGCTTTAGTTTAAATTGCTTCCTTAAACCGTGGATTTGTGCCTCTTAAATCAGTGAGCTTTCTATGGGACGGCTCGCCTGGCTTGGAGGCTACAAGCCATGCTGTGTCCACACATATACATTATCTACCATTCTACTCTTCACTTGTGCTCCAGCCACCCCATTCCCCTTGCTCTTCCTTAAATACTTCACGTACATTCACACCTCAGAACCTCTACTCTTGCTCTTCCTTCTGCCTGAAACGCTATTCCTCTAGACATCTCCATGACTGGCTCTTTCATTTCATTTGAATGTCTCTTCCCTGAACCTCTTATATAAAATTACATAATTTTCCAACAATGATTCTCCGATTCTCCAACACCCATTGGGTGTCCTACAATTCAATTCCATTCTGACACTACCAGGAGTTAGTTAAGGGCTCAGTCCCATGAAACTGCTTCCAGTTCAGATGCCAGTCACATATGGGGTCCTCAGGTTACCTGCACTTCTTCCCAGACAACTACAAATCTGGGGAGGGGGGTCCCACAATCCCCCTCAGACTTGATAATCTGCTAGAATGATTCATAGAACTTAGAAAAGCTTAATACTTATGATTCTATTTTTATCCTGAGGATATAATTCAAGAAAAATCAAATGGAAGAGATTCATAGGACATGGTATGGGGGAGGGGGCGGTCCAGAGCATACATGCCCTCTCCAGTCATGCCACGCTCCCCCCGACATCGATGTATTCATCAACCCAGAAATACCCCGAACCTCGCTGTTTGAGAGTTTTTATCAAAATTTCACTACATAGTCATGATTTGTGAAATCGTTGGCCACTGGTGATTGAACTCAATCTCCAGTCCTTTCCCCTCTAAAAATTCTAACCCTCTAATTACATGGTTGAGTCTTCTGGTGACTAGCCCTCATCTTGAAACTATCTAGGGGCCTTCTAAGAGTCACCTCAAATATACAGATTCAGGTTTGATCAAAAGGGGCTTGTTATGAATAATGAAAAACACTCCTACCACTTAGGCAATTCCAAGGGTTTTAGGGGTTCTGTAACAGAAACCTGGACAAAGACCAAATATATATACCACAAACACAAAAATTTCCTCTTCTCTCTAGGTACTCTCTATCTTCTCTGCTGCACTTAACTTATCTCTATATTGCTTGGTATGTTATATATTTGCTTGTGTATTTGTTTATGGTTATCTCCTCCCAGTAGAATATAAACTCCATGAGGACAGGGTTTGATCTCTCTTCTGTATTGTCCTATCTCCAGCATCTGTTTTAGCCTAAAACAGGCACTCAATAAATATTTGTCAAATCACCGAGTGAATGTCATGTCAGGATACAGTGAAGATACCATTGGCTCACCTCCTTTCTTTAAGAACCTGGCTAACCCGCATCTCTAGGAAGGACAGACCTAGGTTCTAGCTACTTGATTCTGCCTCACATTTCTCAAGTCTGGCCAGCCACATTTGATTATTACAGGACAGAAATCCAGCACCCACGACATAAGAGTTTGGAGTGGGAACCGAAAGTCTGAATCAGTTAAATGATGGTGAAAAATGTGCCAGAGTGAGTTCCATAACAATCACAAGCCACGTACAATAAACAGGCGCAGGGGAGCCATAAAGACATATAAAAAATCAGTCTGTCGACAGAAGCAGAATGGGACAGTTGTACCAGAAGAAGCAGGTGTAAGAGAATATGTGACACTCAAGAGAGATGTAGGGGTTTTCTAAACACTATCAGCATAACCTGACAATTCCCTTCCTATCCTTGGATATGAGACTGACTTGTAAGCTTTCAATAAACCCTCTCTGTAATGAAGCTGGTTTGAATAGGCATCTGTTTCTGGCCATAGAACTTCCTTGGACACAAAGCTTAGATGGCAGTGGTGTAGAGCTGGCCAAAAGAAGCCAAACCTAGGAGGCTACTTAGCAGTCTGTTTCCAACCCCCAACTCCAAGTTTATTCTATACTGCAGTACCCTCCTGGGCCACTGTGAACCTCTCTCCTGAGAATCTGGAATTAGAAATGCCAGACAGTACTGCCAGTCAAGGTAGTGCACGTGTTTGGAGAATTAGAGAGAACTAGTGAGCAGAGAGGGGAGACTGAGGCAAAAGAGGAGAGAGAGCAAAGAAAAGAGGCTGTGATGTGAGAGCGTGAGAGGGAGGGAGAAGGAGGAAGAGGAGGAAAAGGAGGAGGAGGAGGAGGAGGAGGAGGAAGAGCAGGAGGAGCAGGAGGAGCAGGAGGAGCAGGAGGAGGAGCAGGAGGAGGAGAAGGAGGAAGAGGAGCAGGAGGAGAAAAGGGAGGAGTGGGGAGGGGAGGGGAGAGGGGCAGGAGGGAGGCTGCCAAGGAGCGTGGGAACTCACAGCACCCTTGAAGCGGGGTCACACTTCCAACCTTGCTCTCACAAGTCTTCTCAGCCCTGCATAAAACCTGCCTGTTTTGCTTAAGTTAGTTTGAATAAGTTTCTGTTTTTACAACTTAGAACTCCTTGACTAAGCAAGAAACATATAGCTGAGCTTGCTAAGCATTCAGAGGAAGCCTCAGAGGCCCTTGAAGAGCCGCTTACATGGAATGGGGCAAGGCCGAGATACTTGAACAACTGGGAGGATATCACATTCGTATTCAGCACCAATTCATCAGTTTCTACCACCTGATGTAAAAAGAAAGTCTCTTTAGCTGAACTTGGGGACCTATGTGCTCTCAGCATGCCTTACTCACCGGTAAGTCACAGGAACATTCCTGAGCCCCCTAGACCATCGCATGGGGTTTCCAGAAGCGGCGTTGTTCAGCGTGAGGACTCCCAAAATAGGAACCATTTATAGGCTGGCCACTAAGAGACCAGGCCCTGGGGCTTCTCTCCGCTGGCTTTTTTTTTTTTTCCTGCCTCTGAATCTGCCATTCACTGACTAAGACTCTTGACAGGATCCGGTCAAGGGGGTAGAAATGAGTCACCGAAGCTTTCTACCTCTGAGCACATCTGGCACTCCCCAGTGGCCTGTCATAGCTGAGCTCACAATGCCATGGTCAGAGGGCCTCATGGAGCTGCCTGCTGGGGGACTCGCCATGACCCAACCTGCATCAGCCCCAGACTGGAGCAGCCTTGGCCAGGAGATAGTCTGGTCACCAAACTGTTGTCATAAAATCCATCTTTTATTGTCCTTCCTTGTGTATCTTATCACTGAGGGGATGGCGGGGGCTTGGGAACAGCCAACACACAGGCACCTGGGGATTTCTGAGGCTAAGCACGTCGGGCCTGAAGTTTTCTGAGTTTTGGTCACAGAGTCCCCAGAGTGAGTAATCGTCTGCACATTAGATCTTGCCAGTCAGGAACAGCTCTGCAGGGTTCCACTTTGCTTAGCTCTACAGAAACATCTGGCCAAGCCACAGAGGGGAGGACTGGCCCACTCTGTCTAGAAGGGCTATGAGTGTAGGGTCTGGGCACTCCGTCCCCAGGAAGCAGCTGGCCCTTAGTAGGCACTCAGGAGGAGTTTCCTGAATGAATACAGCCTCTTTCAAAATTCCTTCTTTGGAAGGAATTTAATCCCAACCTAAGCGTTTCGGTCACTAGACCTGCTAGGTGGAGCGCTAGCCCACATCTCTCCAGTGCAGGGACCACCACAGGGGACCACTGCGTTCTCCATGCTCCTGAGGTGTTGGTCCCGTGCACGCTGGAACCCAGACAAGGTTGATGCTGGGATGGGAAATTGGGGCCATTCCTTTATTTTCTTCCATATGTACTGCTCTGCTCTCTCTCAAAGAGGAGAAGAGGACAAAAGCAAAGAGAATTGTACCCCCCGACACCTTCTACCCCCGAACTATCTGGGAAATAGCCCTCTACTCTTCTCCTTCCAGCAACAGCAAGACTGTTTTCAGAACCAGTCATGGCTCTTCCTCAACTTAAAGCCTTCCATAACTGGGCTAAAACCTGGTTTCTCTTTCTCCTCAAGCAGAGTGCCTTCCCACCCTAATTCTGTCCAATCTCCAGATTCTCTAGGGGAGAATCAGTTACTTTTGAGGGTCTCTCTGAGTTCTGCATAAGTACAAACAACCGCCTGCCTCCTACCCACACCCCAACCTGTAAGTAGATTTATTCCTCAGGAGAACTGGAGAGCACGCTGGGAGAGTTTACCACTAGCCTCGAGAAAGGGCTTTTTCTTAGACAATGAAGCATTCATCTCCCCTTTCTTCTTCCCTAAGAGAACAGCATTTATGACTCATTCTAAGCCATGATACACTCCTCCCATGCATGATCCAGAGGCATATTGTCACCTTCCACAGCCTGCGAAAGTCATGGCAATCTCATCCTCTTGTCCACGATGGTTTAGGAGTGGGATGTGACCTGGTTCTGGGGTAAGGGGCTGAGGGGATGTCTGCCAGAGGTGTCCAAGAAAGATTTCTTCCCTCCTGAGAGAGACACAGAAAGACTCAGTCCTGTCTTTGCTACACTGGGGATTGCACCCCTCTTCCCCTCACCTGCCAATCATCACCTGAGAAATAGATTCTGGAAAAATCGGGATCTGATTTAGGAAGATGGGGTGGGTGGGTGGACCACCTTCTCTAGAGAGTGATGGGGAGATGGGACCACCTTCTCTTTCTAACCTACAGTTCTATAATGACTGCTTGGGGCCCAGGATGCCCAGACTACCCCCTGCCACCGATATTAGGAAGAATTTTTTAAATCAAACAGCACACCCCGCTCCCAGTACATACCATCTGGAACAAAATCCTTTCAGAGGCCAAGAAAAATTTAGGCCATTCTTTTTTTTTTTTTTTTTTTTTTTTTGAAAAACATTTAGTTTCTCTGACAAACATCCAAGACAAAATACATACTCATGTATAACTTACTTATTTTTTTAAATTTAATCACATTGTATGGAAGACATGGAGATAATTTTTTTTTCTTTTTATCTAATTCTATTCCCTGACAGTCTTCACAAGG